CTGGACGGTGGTGAGGGTACAAATCTCCACGGGGAGATCGTTCCAAAGGGTCGGAGCTGCTACTGAGAAGGCTCTCCTCCGCGTAGTCACCAGTCGGCACTGACTGGCGGATGGAATTCGGAGGAGGCCCAATCTGTGCGATCTGATGGGACGGAGGGAGGTAATCGGCAGAAGGCGGTCTCTCAAGTATTCAGACTCACTACCATGGAGGGCTTTATAGGTGGTAAGTAGCAAAATCCTTTACTCATCCAAGAAACCACAAATAAAAATTACCTTGTGGCTGAAAAGATCTCATCAAATTTCTGCTTCAGAGCCCTTCCTTCACTTAGAGGCCAGTTGGAATCTTCTTGATGGCAGAAAATGACATTATTAATTACAGATTTAGAAACTCCAAGGGCCGTAATCATCTCTCGGTCAATTTCTGCGCACTTGGAGCTCAGACTGACTTTTTCCCCATGCCTGCATGAACATTGGCACAAAAACACAGCAAGTGAATGATAAACATTATACAGACAATTTACTTTTTCTGTAACTGCAAATCAGTGTTGACTGCTCCAACTGCCTGGAAACGTCCTTGCCATTTTCTTGGCAATTCTTTTGGCAGTGGATTAGCATTGCCTTTTTCCTACAGCTGAGAGAGAACAACTGGCCCAAAGTCATCCCATTGGCTTCATGCCTAAAGCAGGACTAGAACTCATGATCTTTTGTGTTTTTCCATATACCATATTTCACGATTATTTTACTTTTTTTTATTCTTACATTTACTGTTTTTCAATATATAAGGACACTACAGCTCTTTTCAATATCACAGAAGAAAAACATGCATTATTAGTTATATATTTGTTCAATTAAATTAATGTAACAGAAAAGATGAGGAAGAAACAATTGAAGTGCAAATAAAATAAACGTATTTAAAAAGGATTCCAATCAAACTTGGTACAAGCTTAGAATTATTTTGGTGGTATGTAAAAATAGATCAGCTACACCTTGTTTTCAGACATACTGCCCTGATATAATCCCCAAATCATATTCAATTAAAAATATGGTTGTTCACTCACTTTATTCTTGTAATTACTCCTTCAAGAGTTTTAAATTCTGTCTTCTTTCCTTTCTGAGAACATATCATGGACCGCTGGACAGCAACAAGCTCTCCATTAACATCATGAAATTGAAGTCTTATTTGAGCTCTGACGTCTGTTTCATTTGCAACCTTTCCCAAGGGAAAATAATTTTTTATTTACAGGTCCAGGAAGAACAACAATTTCTCCCCCCAAATCACCTCTTTATATCGTGTTTATTTATAATAAAAGCGGAGGCAGAGATTTAAAAGTTATTTTCTGTATCATGGACATTGATGATGGACTGAATTTCCTCAGAGTTGAGGGTCTCTTTTCAAACAGATTTGAGAGATTTAAGGGGAAGCATAAGGACAAGAAACTGAAGCAGAAATGTCTATTGCATGAGAAGAACATCATTGTCAGTTGCATGCAAACTTGTAGGGAAAAAAATATCCCATGGAAGGCCAGTAAGTTAAGAAAAATAGTAGGGAAGTTGTCATGAGAACAAAATCATAAAGGTAAAACTATGTGCTAACAAACTTTCCATTAATCCATTACAAAAGGACACATTGCTTGGATCTCCACATATACGACTCAAAACACTAAGTAAAGAACTGGCAGCTATGACTTCACATTTCTGTGTCTGTAGTAATGTTTTTATATTTTTCCAATGGATTTATTATGCAGTTATTTTCTCATAATATATTTTAATCCATTGCTTATATTTATTTTTCAGCATTTTCTTTAGACACACTGCCTCTCAAGGCACAATATAGAAAGTAATAATTGTCATTTTTCTTGAAACAGGGAACTACAAATTCCTCATCAACTTAATCTACACACTGCAATTTACTAGCCAAACAAACTAGCAACTGCAATACTTACTTTTGGATCATGAACAAATGAATTTCCTTTGCTGCCGGGTGGAAAATCCCCAGTACAAATATATTTGAGGCATTCTATAATAGTCTAATGAAATGGAAACAGGCATCAGAAATATATTTAATAGCCACTAAATGACTATGTCTAGATGAGATGATTTAAAAAGTAGACCCTCTCATGTATTATTTTCTCCAACCACCCCATAGGAAATCTAAGAAATCATATAAATGGTTTACTCATATAAAGATGTTGATGCTATAAGAAGAATTATAAATATAGAGCTTTGCTGATCACTTCTATTAGCAGGAATTCCCACCGACATTCATTTGTACAGAATTGCAAGATCCTATGCATTCCAACACAAGCTGACTTCTCATGTATATTGTTAAACAAATGAGAGAGATAACAAAATGTTTAAATTTAGTTCTTCAAAAGCATCCTCTAAAAATAACTTCCTGTTTTCCACAGTCATGTTCTTTAATGCAATGCTATCAATGTACAAAAAGATATAAATAAGAAACACACACAAACACCTTGGAACTGTTAGAAATCCATAGACCCATCCAAAACAAGCACATGGAAGTTTTGGTGATCTCTTTAAAGAAAATATATATTCTATACAATTTGCTCTTTCAGTGTCATTGTTAAAGAGTTATATTTATTTGTAAGGAGTTAATTTTTAAGGTTTATGAAAAACAGAATACAATACTTCCTCTAAGAGATAATCCACACATTTTGTTATTTATTTATTATTCTTTTGGGATATTTGTAATAAGATTTTAAAATGTATTCCCAGAATTAAGCCACTTCTCAACATTGGGATGGGTGGTAAGAAAGTAATTTATAAAAAAAATTAAACCCACTTGATCTTACCGTTTTTCCAGCACCATTTGGGCCCACCAAAATAGTTAGTGGATTAAAGAAAGTGATAACTTGTTTATCTTTATCCTCCACACCAAAGCTCCTCACTCCAAGAATGCTCATTTTATCAATCTTAGACATGTTTGAAAAATATTCTTTTTTCCACTAGCAGTAAACTGTATTCAAACTACCCTGCAGAGTAACTGTCAAATAGAATAAAAAGGGTCAGTTTCAGTAATCTTTCATCTAAATAAGGCAAACAATATTCCATATGTAATTTGCTTAGGATATTTGCACATAAACAGATATCTACATATAGAACTAAAAGAACAAAACTTTGGTAAAGATTTCATCCACAATTTAAAAGGTAGACTAGCACCATCTATTTCAGACCATTGATCCATAAACTAGATGACACTCAAGTTTTCTCACCCCAAGAAACTGTGAGGACTTTGGATATAGATAAGATCTTTTGATTTTAATTAAAATTCTTGATTAAAAATAAACACGAACTGTGGATTTTCAAAAAGCCAATTTGAATAAACTAAGCAAAATAAGTTGCATGAGAAGAGACTCATAAAGATAAAGGTGTTGCAACCAGCTGAAATTTCTTAAAAAGAAAATTAAGGATAGGGTAATCTCATATATACCAATGAGAAAGAAAACAAAACAATACCTAAAAGAGCCAACATGGCTGAATAAATAGTTTGTAAAAAAAGTTGTCACTCATGAAAGATGCTTATTGGAAATGGATGGAAAAGTTAACACCAAGGAAGTTACAGAACATGTATAATAACTGCAATACCATCTTCCTGGCATGGCTTGCTAATTTTTGCTGCTGTTGCTTTCATTGGTAACTATAATTGCTTTGTATCACCTAAGTTGTTTTGATAATTGAAGCTATCTATCCAAATAACTCCAAATGCTTATGAGGCAACACAGTTCTTTTAATTCTGTCCCAACAGCTTCCACATCCTCTTTCTAACATCCACTTTCATTCATTCTCTTGAGATTATTTAAGGTCCAATATGTCTTCATACTGGATTTTTGCTTTCCTTTTCTCTATTCAATCTGATTTCATTCTAGTTTCTTTCACTTCTTCTCTTTTCCTCCATGTTCATCTTTTCCAACATCCATTAACACAGTATTTGAAAAATAGCATATTTCATATTTAGAATCTCTCAGTGCCTTTGTATTCTTTGCAAATCTCTCAACTATTTCTCAAAAACAATTGTAATATCATACACGTTCAAATAAATTTGTGCATATGGATACACAAAAACATGCTTAAAACACATATTAGGATTAGGTTCTTTTTCAAAGAGATATTGGTAATTATTGAATAATCTTTGTATTTATTTCTTTAGCGACCTCTACCTTAAAATTTACTTTGAAAAGATCTTGAGAAGTGAAAGGGAATAAGAAGGCATCCAGAAATACATGATCTTGTTACACCCCAAAACGTGTACCACCACCGCGGCACTGCTCCAAGCATAACAACTTCTCCGGCTTCCAAACTCCAAAACCCGGCTGCTGATTCTTCCAGCAGCGGCCGCTGATTCTTCCAGCAGCGGCCGCTGCGCTCTATGGTTGTGGGCTGGCTGCTGGAAGACTCTCTGTCCAGAAGACTCTCTTTCCAGCAGCCGGCCCACAACCATACGGCGCACTCCTAGAGCGGCCCCTGCTGGAAGACTCGGCAGCCAAGTTTTGGAGTTTGGAAGCCAGAGAAGAAGTTATGCTCGGAGCGCTGCAATGGCGGCAGTGCCCTGGCCCTGCAGGGAGAGCTGGGCCAGGGCATGGTGTGGCTGGGAGGCATGCTTGCTGTGGACGGAACAGGTGCTCGCGCAAGCTGTGGGAGCTGGGGAACGGGCAGGGCGTCACGTGCCTTGATGCTTTAGGTATACCCGCTAGGTCAGTGAATGGCGCTCTGCCCGGCTGGAGAGGGCAGTTGCCCATGAGCGTGGTCACCTCATGGCTGCTTCGCCCCTGAGGCTGTGCCCGGAATTTGGGAGCCAATTCGCAAGGGAGCAGCTGCCCAGCAACCCCAAAACAATAAGCCCTCCCCCCTATAATAAGCCCAAGGCCATATTTCGTGGGGGCAAAAGAAAATAAGACCCTGTCTTATTTTCGGGGAAACACGGAAACTGCTGTTAAGACAATTGAAAACCACTTCTTTATAGGCTTTTAAAAAAATCTTTTTCTCTTTCTTTGCATCTTTTTTATATATTAGTTTAATTTCCTTTTCAAAATTAGTAGTTTTTCTCTTTAAAAAAATCTTTATTATGCACATACATACATAGATACATACATATACAGTCCTTGACTTTTAACTGTTCATTTAGTGACCATTCAAAGTTATAACACTGAAAAGTGACTTAAAACCATTTTCACACTTATGACCATTGCAGCATCCTCATGATCATGTGATTTACATTCAGATGCTTGACCACTGGTTCATATTTACGATGACTGCAGTGTTCCCGGGGTCGTGCAATCCCCTTTTGCAACCTTCTGACAAGTCAATAAGGAAGCCAGATTCACTTAACAATTGTTTTACTCACATAACAACTGCAGCAATTTGCATTTTAAGAAATACGGCAAGAAAAGCGGTAAAATGGGGGGAAACCCAGTTTACACATTTCTCACTTAGCAAGCTAAATTTTGGGTTCAATCATGGTCATAAGTCGAGGACCACCTGTACTTGTATGCATGTATGAGCATTCCGTGTATTCACTTATTTATTTTTAAACATGTCACTGGAGCAGCGATAGAAGAAGCCTCAATGCAGGATCGGAGGAGGAGGAGTCAGAGGAAACTAATCAAAGATTGAAGGAATTAAGAAGAAACTTCCTAACAGTGAGGGCAATTAACCAGTGGAACAGCTTGCCTTCAGAAGTTGTAGGTGCTTCATCACTGGAGGTTTTTAAGAAGAAACTGGACAGTCACTTATCGGAAATAGCTTACATTCTCCTGCTTGAGCAGGGGGCTGGACTAGAAGACCTTCAAGGTCTCTTCCAGCTCATTCATTCTATTCTATTCTATTCTATTCCAAGGAAGTCCTGGTTGGCTGTTGAGGGGCATTGTTGCCTCTCTAGTAATTGGTTTTACTGAGAGTTGCCTGCATTGCTGTTTCCGGTTAAAAATAAATAAATGCGGGTGGGGGGAGTGGGAGGAAATACAGTCCGGTGGCAAGGAAGACCATTCTGGCACAAAACCCCCAAGCCCCCAGCCCAGCAGCTTCTCGTTCTTAGCTCAACAATTCCTTTATGGCAAGACGCCGCCCGCCAGCACACCACATCCTCCTGCGTGGTTCAGAAGGCGCGGGTCTTCGAGGAAGGGGGCGAGCCCTCCCGAGAACCCGCCGCCACAATTCTGGAGGAGGATGCGCGCGCGGGGAGGGCGACTCCCGCTTTCTGAGACCGGGATCTTCCCAGACCCGCAGCGAGACGGCGCGAGAAGAAGAAAAGGGGGGGGGGGTTTCCTACCTTTCTTAGGGGCGGGGAAGGGGGCGCAGCTTTACCGGAGAGGGGAGGAGGAAACTCGGATGGGGGAGGGGAGGCACGGCGGTCTCCGAAAAGGTTTGGCATACAGCCCCGCGCATTGGAATATTGCAAAAGGGAACCTTACCACTTTGACTGACACGCTTGGCCCATCAACGGCGTGCGGGGGAGGGGCTGGAGCGGGGAGGAGGGCGTGTCTGACGGAGCGCGAGAAGTTTCATCTATCGCCTGGGCCACAAACCCGGCATTACTTTCCCGCCACCGCCGAAAAAACGTCACCCGTATGACGTCAGCATCTTGGGAACAGAGAGATAGTCAAAGTTAGAAAGTCCTTAGCGAACGCAGAATAGGAGGAGGAAAGGGCGCGATAAAGTCGTTTCCCAAGTGATTCCACCGCGGGGCATCTCTACATGATTTTATCTCTTGGTGCCTCGTCCCTGCATGTGACAGCCTGCCGCTTAGGAACAAGGAAATCGCTCCAGGCTTACACAGTACAGGTGGTCCTCAACTTACGACCACAACGGAGCCCATGGTTTATGTTGCTAACTGAGAAATTTGTTAAGTGACATTGGCCCCATTTTAAGACCTTTTGTGCTACATTTGTTAAATGAATCACTGTAGTTGTTAAATCAGTAATTTGGTTGTTAAGTGAATCGGGGGTGTCACAAAAGGGGATCAGGTGACCCCAGGACATTGCAACCATCATAAATACAAGTCAGTTGTCAAGCATCTCAATGTAAATCGCATGGCCATGGGGATGCTGCAACCGTCTTGGGGGTGAAACGTGGTCATAAGTGCATTTTCAGTGTCATTGTAATTTTGGTCATTAATTGAGCTGTTGTAAGTCGAGGACTACCTGTACTTAGGGAATTTTAGCCGGTGCCCTCAGAGAAGGTAAAGTAGGATGTTAGGCAGCCTATAATTGGCCTTGAAGGCCTCAGAAGCTAAACTGACTGAAATTGGTTAGTCCGTGGATGAGGGAAATCATAGGCTAGGCTGGGAAGTTAAAAAGTATTTTGGAAAAAATGTTGTGGTAAACCAATGGACTATATGGGACCAATAAATTCCAAATATGTCAATTCACAAACAAACCTTGAGATGAGGGATTGTTTTGCTGAATGTTGTTTTTTTTTAAACAAAAGTTAACTGCAGAGCATAAGAGTTCTACATATAACCTTGGAGTCAGGTCAGGGAAATTTGAGGAGACAGTTTTTTCTGTGGGTCATTGGAATTCCAAGCCATTTTCTCCAATTTGCCTCAGGCATTCCTTCCCCAGTCTGAAATATGAGAGGTGGCCATTCGTCTTATGCCACTGGCTGGAACTGAGGATTGCAGTCTGATGCTCCTGCTCCTAAAAAGAAAAAAAAATCCATCCAGCTCAGAGATTGGATACTCTCAGAGACTTGGATTTGATCATCTGCAAGGCATCTTCCACACCAATCAGAAAATCTGCATTGGCAATGTCCAATAGCAACCTTTTAATTTCTTGAAAAATTCTACAATTATTAAGTGAGCACACTTTGAATTATTATTGCTATTTGGGTGAGCATGGGTATGGCCATAAATTGTAACAGACACACAGTTCCAAATCCATTACATTTACCATGATGAATGCCCTCCTCAGTTGTTCAGAATTCTATTTTGGGGCAGCCTGTATGGCTCTCTAGATTCAAAAGAAAACCCTGCAGGGATGCTATTACTAAAGTTGCTTTTGGTTAGAAAGATGAGCAGCATATAAATGTAATAAATAAATAGAATAAAAAGAATAAGTAAATAGCTATGCTGTATGGGAGTGGGACCTTAGGTAATCTGAGTTCTCAATTTAGGAGGTACCATAGATGTCCAGCCAAATGTAGTTATGATTTTTTCCCCCAGACTATTTCCACAACCAGAAGGATGAAGGCAGAAGAAACACAGTCCAGTTCCCATTTTCTGTCTATGCATACAGTTCCTGAATAGCTTTGTAGGAAGTTATCACCCAGCCCTCTCCCAGAAAAATGAAATATCCTAGGAAATATTGAAAAGGCAGAATATTTCTCTGGATGTGAAAAAGGAANAGAAATTATAGATGAGAGTTTCTTATATTTATATATGAAAGGGGTAGAAGGTAGCTTTTTATGTATGTCACAGAAGTCTTGAATATCCCAAGAGTGTTTCAGTTCCATCAGGTCTTATTGGTTCTGATCAACCTCATTTCTTCCATGTTACAATTTTGGATTTAACCTTTATCTTGCTCATGTTTTACAAACCATGCTTAAAAACAACATGCCTTAACAGGATGCTTAAAAACAGTTGAAAACTATGCAGCAACAACGTCAAAAATGATCTTGACACCAAAGAAATGAGGAAAGCATTTAAAAAATCAAACTGTATCCAAGATGTTTCTCATCTGTATAAAAAGAAGAGAAAGAAAAACACACCCAGGCTTTCAAGATTATAAAAGTATAATTCCAGTTAAACTTCAGCAGTTTGTTTCTTGACTGTCTTACATCAAAAGGAAACATATGAATGGGATTGTTGTGTAACAGCATGGGTAATCATATTCTATAACATTGATGCAGAGTAGTGGCAGTGAAAATGACTATAACATTTGGATAAGTTTAATGACACATTTGGATTTCTCCATATTAAGAAAAGTCTAAAAGTTTAGAGTCCTTTAAAGCTAACTTGCTGTTTTTTCCCTTGTACTCGCTAAATAAAGGGGATGGGGAATTTTCACATAGTTTCAAAGCTCTTCATATTTGGTAGAGTCATAGACTTTTGGTAACCATCCAAGAGTCTTGGAGATCCTCAGATGAAACTGGCATTAAAAAGACACTTGAAGGGTATGGGCTCATTTCTATATGCCACACAAAAATATGTATATGAGGTGTATGGATTACACAGAGATTCCCACACAAATTAAGTAAAAGTTGAAAGAGTTTATTGAATAAAGCAGAACTAAGAATAACAACAACTGCAGAGTATACTATCAACAGGAAATTACATAAATAGGGCACATAAACTAGAAAAGAACCATAAATGCAGGCAGTGGTGGTATTCAAATACTTTAACAATTAGGTTGCCCAAGATACAGAGGTGGGTTGCTTCAACTTTTATTACTGCTTCTCAACCCACGCGCTGCATGCATGTGTACTATTCTATGTAAATTGTTCTTTGTGTATATGCAAAACAATTTACAGTGAATTGCACATGCACAATGACTAAAAACCAAAATGGTGGTGGTCCAGCAGCTGAATCAGGAGCAACCCACCTCTGCCAGGGTCAGGTTGGCTGTTGTGAGAGGTGTGGCCCATCCACATCCTCCAACTTCACTGCAAACGTGGAATGAGTCTCCTGAGATGACCAAACTGATCCTGGGTGAACCGGTTGTTAAATTTTCACTCTTTGCCAAAAGGCTGTTTCCTAGGGTGCTTTTCTGCACATTGGTCTTCAGCTATTTTAGCCATCTGGATGAGGCTCATTTCAGAGGTGAGGTTTCCAAGGAATGAGGAGGGGGGTTACCATAGAGACAAGGAATTAATGCTCCTGAGACCATGTGCAGGAAGGTGAAGAATTGGGGGAAATGTATGGAGGGTTGTAGCTGTGTGCAGGGACTATTGGTCAGTTTGTGGGTAAAAGTGAGAGGGGCGAAGAATTAAGTTGGCAGCATGATTGAAGCTGGGTCCACGAGGAAAGCTAATTTAACATCTGTTTCACCTGAAATGGTGCAAACCAGCTGAATCCCACCACTGAATACAGGTGCACAAATATAGATGAAAAATTTATATCCTTTTAATTTAAAGGACTCATTCTCAATGGAAGATACCGATATTGCCTAAATGATGCCACTAAGCATATTGCACCTTTCAAAATATGCTCCTACTGAGCCATTATTTGGTGAATCTTCATTTAAGTATAGATGTTATATACATTTAACTAAAATAAATTTTAAAAAAGTATTGGACAGATGGCGGCATAGATGATACAAACCTGGATAAGGCTTTTGGTATATCTTTTCACGAGCTTGGATTAAATACTTCTCAGGAACATTTCAATAAAATATCAACCTGATGTACATTTATTTATATTCCTTTTTTCAGGTATTATACAATAAAACCTGTCTCATATTTTCCACTTTGTATTAATTTAGTGTTAATGAAATCTTAAATGATATTCTATATCGGTTTTGAATTATACATCTTGATTTTTCATTTCTGGTGATTCCCAAAAGGTTACGGTAGTTAGAACCAACTTACTCATCCTGCCCACCCTGTTTTTCAATTTCCCAAAGGAGTTTTAAAGCAAAGAAAGAATGCTCTGGTGTGCATGTGTTAAAAACAGTTTGATGTAGAATTTAATGAATCAAGATTAAAACCAGAAGTCGGTGAGGTCTACTTTTGTGGTAGGAATGAAGCAAAATGGGGGACTTTAGGGCCATCACTCTCCCTCTCCTCAGTCCTAGGAAGGAAACTGTGGTAAATCCTTTCTGAAAATCCTACCAAGAAAAAATGCAGGTACTTGTCAAGGCAAATGGTGACTTAAAAGAACAAAATAACAAAAAGAGTGAGCAACTGATCATTTAAAGTTTGAAGCACATAAAGCTTTCCTTTGCCATATTATCTGAAAACAATGAAAGAAAGCCATTTTATACAGGAAAGCAAAATGAGATCTTTTTTTAAAAAAACAAACCCTCTTCTCCATTGCCCATCTTTTTCACAATGACATTACTCCTCAAAACTCACTTCATCAAAAATCAAGGTGAGTCATCCTATGATATGCCAGAAGCAGCCGAACATCCACATTTAGCACCCTCAAA